ACAGTGTGTGGGGTAGCCCTGTACAGTGTGTGTGGGGTAGCCCTGTTCAGTGTGTGTGGGGTAGCCCTGAACAGTGTGTGTGTGGTAGCCCTGTACAGTGTGTGTGTGTGGTAGCCCTGTACAGTGTGTGTGTGGTAGCCCTGTACAGTGTGTGTGTGGTAGCCCTGTACAGTGTGTGTGTGTGGTAGCCCTGTACAGTGTGTGTGTGGTAGCCCTGTACAGTGTGTGTGTGGTAGCCCTGTACAGTGTGTGTGTGGTAGCCCTGTACAGTGTGTGTGTGGTAGCCCTGTACAGTGTGTGTGTGGTAGCCCTGTACAGTGTGTGTGTGGTAGCCCTGTACAGTGTGTGTGTGGTAGCCCTGTACAGTGTGTGTGTGGTAGCCCTGTACAGTGTGTGTGTGGTAGCCCTGTTCAGTGTGTGTGTGGTAGCCCTGTACAGTGTGTGTGTGGTAGCCCTGTACAGCCCTGTGTGTGTGTGGTAGCCCTGTACAGTGTGTGTGTGGTAGCCCTGTACAGTGTGTGTGTGGTAGCCCTGTACAGTGTGTGTGTGGTAGCCCTGTACAGTGTGTGTGTGGTAGCCCTGTACAGTGTGTGTGTGGTAGCCCTGTACAGTGTGTGTGTGGTAGCCCTGTACAGTGTGTGTGTGGTAGCCCAGTACAGTGTGTGGGGTAGCCCTGTACAGTGTGTGTGGGTAGCCCTGTACTAGCCCTGTACAGTGTGTGTGTGGTAGCCCTGTACAGTGTGTGGTGGTAGCCCTGTACAGTGTGTGTGTGGTAGCCCTGTTCAGTGTGTGTGGTAGCCCTGTACAGTGTGTGTGTTAGCCCTGTACAGTGTGTGTGTGGTAGCCCCTGTACAGCCCTGTGTGTGTGTAGCCCTGTACAGTGTGTGTAGCCCTGTGTGTGTGTGTGGTAGCCCTGTTCAGTGTACAGTGTGTGTGTGGTAGCCCTGTTCAGTGTGTGTGTGGCAGCCCTGTACAGAGTGTGTGTGGTAGCCCTGTACTGTACAGTGTGTGTGTGGTAGCCCTGTGTGTGGGGTAGCCCTGTACAGAGTGTGTGTGGTAGCCCTGTACAGTGTGTGTGGTAGCCCTGTCAGTGTGTGTGGTAGCCCTGTACAGTGTGTGGGGTAGCCCTGTACAGTGTGTGTGTGGTAGCCCTGTACAGTGTGTGTGGTAGCCCTGTTCAGTGTGTGGTAGCCCTGTAACACCTGTTCTTGTCTTGGGGTTTTCCCCTGCAGGTAATGAGCAAAGTTTTGTCAGTTAATAACCGAGAAACCATTTTCTATTGTAGTAGTTCTTGCATTGTGAAGTATTTCTATTATGTAACTTAAATAATAGTTATCTATATATACTTAAGCTGGAAGAAGGGTTTGATATAGTTCATGGCTCTGTACCTCTTGAATTGTGTCGACCTGGAGCCGACCATGTTGGGCTCATACTCCACAGTAATCAGCGTGCAAAGTTGGGTGTCTCAAACTGTCTGGCCGTTAAGCTTAACTGGTTAGTGTGTGGTGCTCCTCCAGCTGGCATATTGGGATGGCGTCTTCTACTCCCTCCTGAGACCATCGTAGTTTGGCAAAGTGGGCTAAGATTTTGGAAAGGTTTCCACGTGAACCTGTCATGTATAGTTTCTTCACAGTTATGGTCACTCTAGGCACTGTCGTAGCTCTCCCCCCACACACACATCAGCCCATCCTCCTGGTTGTGTAGTACTTATAGTAACTATGAGGACCATAGTACATATATTGACAGGGAAAAGGCAACTAGAAAAGTAGAAATCGGTACTATTGAAGTGTTACCGACGTGTGCAAATTGGGGAGGAGAGCGTCCACAGCTTGTGTACTCTCAGGTGTGGTGGTGTAATGCTCCTCTCCGTCTGGGATTTGTTTACCTTTTATTTTGTTCAAACTGTTTTCCATACTTAGACCACTGGAGTGTTGTCAGTGATGACCCATGCCTAGTTCCTCCATTATATACTTATAATTATGCCTAATTATACGTAAGATTCTGAAGTGCAGTATCTAGTAGGGATACCTGGTAGTGCCTGTGTGTTTCTCTCTCTATCTCCCTTTATCTCTCTATCCTAGCTTGTGGCGGGAGAGATTTGTCAGAGAGGCCTGAGGGAGGGTGGGATGGGATGGACTCTGCTCATGATGGGAGTGTTGCCATGAATGCACTTTGGGGAGGGTGGTGGCTTGATTTACAAGTCAGGTGTTTTATATGTCGAATATAAAATTGTTAATTTTCCCAAGATCAGTGCATAATATTTTAAAATATTATGAGTTTTGTTTTTATTCCAAGCATTTAGAGAATTGGGAGCCTGTTGCACTGGTAAAGTCATGATGGGGGATGAGCATGTGACCGCTGCATGCTGTTCCCTCTTGAATTGTGTCGACCTGGAGCCGACCATGTTGGGCTCATACTCCACAGGAATCATCGTGCAAAGTTGGGTGTCTCCGCGTGTCTGGCCGCTTAACTCGGGCAGAGTTAGGCGGCCACCCACTGGGGGACTGGGGGGGGGGAAGTTACGAAACGCGGGAAGAAGAGGTATGAGAGGTAGAAAAACCTCCCCTTCATGTCCCCACCCCGTCCCCACCTCGTCCCCACCTCGTCCCCACCCCGTCCCCTCCCCGTCCCTTCCCCGTCCCTTCCCGTCCCTTCCCCGTCCCTTCCCCGTCCCTTCCCCGTCCCTTCCCCGTCCCTTCCCCGTCCCTTCCCCGTCCCTTCCCCGTCCCTACCCCGTCCCCACCCCGTCCCCACCCCGTCCCCACCCCGTCCGCCACCACACTTGGCCAACCATGGTGCGAGGGGTGTCCTCCAGCCAGCTGAGGGGGAAATGATATCTGGATATGTCGGGTCGGCATAGTTTTGTCTCTGCGTCTGCTGGTCTCGCCCAGGATTGAGTTATTTTTTTATTTTTTTTGCTCCAGACTTTTTCCAAGATGTTTTTCCGTGCGATAAGTTCCTCGCGAGAACATTAAAGTCTAATGAGTGAGTCTTATTAACGGTAGAGCAACAGGATTTGGGAAGAGAGCGCCAGGGCCATCACACACACACACACTTGGTAGGGAACATTGATTTTTAGCGGACCTCTTAGTAATGTTGTGATGAGTTAGAAGATGGGGCGTCTTGCAGGGGTCGTTGACCCTAGCAGGCCGGGATGGGCCTGCTAGGGTGGAGCTAGTAGGGTGGTGGTGGTGCAACAGTTGGCAGTGTTGGAGGGGCATGAAGGGTGAGAGCATGATCAGCAGCATAGTGCCACCCTCATTATGCCCCTCACGCACCGCGCATAACACAACCCGCTAACTTTCTGCTTTATGAGATCCATTCCACCCACCCATGCTTAAAACTTCCTGCAACATTGCTAAATATAACGCATTAATTTCTCTCTCTGTCTCTCTCTCTGTCTCTCTCTCTGTCTCTCTCTGTCTCTCTCTGTCTCTCTCTCTGTCTCTCTCTCGCTCTCTCTCTGTCTCTCTCTCTCTCTCTCTCGCTCTCTCGCTCTCTCTCTCTCTCTCTCTCTCTCTCTCTCTCTCTCTCTCTCTCTCTCTCTCTCTCTCTCTCTCTCTCTCGCTCTCTCGCTCTCTCGCTCTCTCGCTCTCTCGCTCTCTCGCTCTCTCGCTCTCTCGCTCTCTCTCTCTCTCTCTCTCTCTCGCTCTCTCTCGCTCTCCTCTCGCTCTCTCTCTCTCTCTCGCTCTCTCTCGCTCGCGCGCGCGCGCATGTAAAATTCAAAAGTTGGCAAGTGTAGCATACGCTCCTCGGAATTTTTTTGTATGTGGTCCTCAGGTGACAATTTTCTATCCAGAACCTTCGTCTACCTTTTTATCAGAATTCCTTAAAGTTTTTCACAAAATTTGTAGGTTGTGTGTGGGCCTAATTTTTCATTATAACCTGCCATTTGTTCACATTAAATTCCATTTGCTAGATTTTATCCCCCCCCCACACTTATTATGTCCAGGTGTTGCAGGTCATGGTAACCATGTCCAGGTGTTGCAGCAGGGCATGGTAACCATGTCCAGGTGTTGCAGGTCATGGTAACCATGTCCAGGTGTTGCAGCAGGGCATGGTAACCATGTCCAGGTGTTGCAGCAGGGCATGGTAACCATGTCCAGGTGTTGCAGCAGGGCATGGTAACCATGTCCAGGTGTTGCAGCAGGGCATGGTAACCATGTCCAGGTGTTGCAGCAGGGCATGGTAACCATGTCCAGGTGTTGCAGCAGGGCATGGTAATCTTGCCGGAGTGTTGTTGCAGGGCTTGTGGGCACTCATATAAGTTTCTAGTCTCCCCCAGTAGCGTGCCTTTATCAGCATATATGGTTATATAATTCTGTATTCCTTCTGGTAGAGTTTATATAGAGAGTGGCCATTACTGGTGAAGCTCTGGTACTCCACTAGTAACATGTCTCCTATCTTGTACATTGCTTCTTGATTAGTACCATCAATTTTCGGGCACATATATTGTAATCCATGTTAGAAGTCTCCCTGTCACCCCTCCAGTATGTTCCAATTTCCCAAACAATTTCTTGTTTGGGACTCTATCTGGACCTTAAAAAAAGGCTTTTGACAAACTCCGTCAACCCAACCATCTCTTTCCTATGAAATCTGTGTCGTAGAAACTGAATAGATCTCTCCGATCTGTGTTCAGCATCTTCCTCTGCGAAAACCATAGTACTGTTATTTTATCATTTATCTTCAGGGGTTTTGCCCATTTGCTTTTAATTATTTTGTCTAATGTTTTGAGTACAACGTTTGTCAACGACTATAAACTATTTCGCCCCACCAGGATTCGAACCTGGACGGCCAAGGGGTCACTCCACTGGCTACCTATTCTTAAGACCACTCCACATTGGATGGATGGATGTGTGTGTGTGTGTGTGTGTGTGTGTGTGTGTGTGTGTGTGTGTGTGTGTGTGTGTGTGTGTGTGTGTGTGTGTGTGTATGTGTATGATCAGTAACTGTAGAGACGACCCGCATCTTAACTCTGGCTCTCTCTCCCTCTGCTGCAGGAACGGCAAGTCCCGTGAGGCAAACGGTGAGTGTGAGCGGTACACGGAGGTGGCGCCCCGACGCACGACGAGGCTGCAGGAGGCCACGGAGCTACACGAGGTGCCGCTGGACACGGAGAGACACGGCACCAAGATCCGCGAAGGCCGCCGCTCCAGCAGGCACTCCAAGGCCGCGGAGAAGCCACCCAAGAACAACAACCACCTCAAGGAACTCAACGACGAGACTGAGGGTAAATGGAACCTGGAGAACCGGTTAAAAGCGAAGGAGGGTACGAGGGAGTACGAGACGCACACCGTCCTCGAGCGTAGAGTGAAGACGGAGAACAACCACGCGGAGGAGAGGCGGGAGAAGAAGGCGAAAGTGAAGCTAAAACCCAAGGTGGAGGTGAAGACCAACACCGAGACCACTGTACAAAACCACGCCCGCCCGCCCGAGGCAGACGACGACCTCCTAGTACAAGAGCTGGAGGTGGGCCAGCAGCTCCACCTCCATCACCACCACCACCACCACCACCTCCAACACTACCAACAACCTCAACAACAACAACAACAACAGCAGCAACCACCGCCGCCACAGCAGCAACAGCAGCAGCAGCATCAGCATCATCAACAGCAGCACCAGCATCATCAGCAACAACAACACCACCACCACCACCATCAACAACCACCACCACAACCATTACCATCACTACACCACCAGTTGTTACCTGATGATATAGACATAGAGTCCAACTGTCACGTGACTCTGGAAGCAGAGGACAAGAAGAAGAAAAAAGACGAGAGAAGAGACGAGAAGAGGAAGAAGAAGCTGAAACACCTGGAGGAGGAGAACCTCTCAAAGTGAGTAGACAAGTTCATGTTGTCTCACTGTACCTCCTTATATATCTCACTGTACCTCCTCATATATCTCACTGTACCTCCTCATATATCTCACTGTACCTCCTCATATATCTCACTGTACCTCCTCATATATCTCACTGTACCTCCTCATATATCTCACTGTACCTCCTCATATATCTCACCATGTCTCACTCACCACCTCATATCTCACTGTGTCTCACTCACCTCATATATCTCACCGTGTTTCACTCACCTCATATATCTCACCGTGTCTCACTCACCTCATATATCTCACCGTGTCTCACTCACCTCATATATCTCACCGTGTCTCACTCACCTCATATATCTCACCGTGTCTCACTCACTCACCTCATATATCTCACCGTGTCTCACTCACCTCATATATCTCACCGTGTCTCACTCACCACCTCATATATCTCACCGTGTCTCACTCACCTCATATATATCACTGTGTCTCACTCACCTCCTCATTCCGCACTCACAATTACTGGTGTTTTATATTAGCGTTTCACCTGTTTGTATACATTTAGTTCACATCAAGGGCCCCCCTAAGGTCCAACTATTGACCCTCCCCCCCCATGATATAACCCTAAAACTTTGTATAATTCACGTGTACCTATTTACTGCTAAGTGAACAGCAGCATTAGGTAAAACGAAACGTGGCCAAACATTTCTGTCCCACCCGGGATTTGAACCCACGATGCCTGACTGAGGGTGGAGGAGGAACTCAACTGTACAAAGTGTAACATGACAGGTAAAGGCTGTTACTTCAGTAGTTTCTATTGCGCTTTAATAGGATCAAAATAAGGACATTTGTTGGTATTTATATAATTATATATATTTTTTAAATCTGTTGTATGAATTATCTGTTACGGTTAAACAGTTGGGCAGAGTTACTAACAGGGTCTAACAGTTTTACAATTGACCGCGCGCGCATCTGGCGAAAAGTCTTGGTCAACCTTAATGAACATTTGCAACACTCACGCATCTGTTAGTAAGACCGGTTTAACAGACATTTGCAACACCCACGTGTCTGTTTAAGAAACATATACAACACGCAAATGCGTCCTCTCGCGAATAGTGTTTAGTGTTTGCGTTGTTGTCGTTGTTGAGTTAGGGGCGACGACGATCGTGGGATCGGATGCGCCCCGGCGTACCCGTGAAGGGTGAATCGCAAAGCCAGGAAAAGCGAAATGCCAAACCAAAACGCGAAACGAGTGACGCCAAGCACTAGAAACTAATATGCCACACGGCAAAGCTACGCACAAAGGGAGAGGCAGAAGCACAGAATAGAACAGGGCAAACAAACAGCCAGAAGGGCACACAGTATATCATAGAGCAAATACACAGGAAATCAGAGCACATACTTGCCCGGGAACTTGGCCCGCGGGAACCGTACATTAAACGCCTCCCAGAGCACCCATTGCCAAGGGTCTCGTCCATCCACCGGGGACGCCATAACACCCGGAACCGGGGCAACAAACACCCGCAAACTGGGGACCCAGATGGTAGTACTCATGAGGCGAGAAGTCGCCACTCGCCCCACAGGAAGGGAACTTGCCCCCCACGAAAGCACTCCGGTCCGTCAGACAGCAGTAACTCGGCAATCTTCGACCAGTGACCCGGTGGCATCACAGACGCCGGCAACACGTCCCCCAGGGCCCCAACGCGCACCCGCACCATAGAGGTACCCGCGGCCCCGGGCACATCACCAGACGACAGCAGGGAACCCGGACGGCGCGCATCCTTCCGTAACGTCACCACCAGGCCACGCCCAGCACCAGAGTCCACACCATCCCTGGCAGCGGAAGCCACCCCCCCCCCCACTGTGGAGAGTCCCCCGGCGGAGAAAGAACCGAAGGCACGTCCGAGACACAGGCACCAGCACTGGCAGGCACATGTACCTCCGCCACCACGAACCGCGGAGACATCGACGCATCCGTATCCACACTGTCAACACCCGAAGCCCCACAGTCACTGAAGTCACCAATGTCGGCCCAGGAAGAAGACGAACGCCGGGAACGTTTGGGCACCGGCCGGATATTGTCAGAGCCGGTAAGTGACCCAGAAACACGGGTACCACGAGCCGAAGGAACCGACCCCAGGACGGCAGCAGCCTCTACCACAGGGGGAACCGGGCCACACACAGCAGGAGGCTCCGCAGCCACCCCAGCACCAAGCACATCCGGGACCCGAGTCACGGACACAGGGCCAGGCGCAGCATCAGAAGACGAGGGAGAAGACAGCGACGTCACACAGGGAGCTCCAGGAAGGCCCACGGGAGCAGCTGGAACAGCGACAGGATCAGGCAGACCATCGACGGGACCTCAAGAACCGGAGAAGGGACGGCAACAACCTGAGGAACGGCAGGCGCCGCCGGGGAAGCTGCAGCAGCAGACGGGACACGCACCACCTCATCAACATCACCAGAGACAGCCGCCAGAGGGAGCGGCGGGAAATCCTCGTCGCGGAACAGGTTGACAGGAGCAGCAGGGGCCTCAGAGCATCCGGCAGCCTGATGCCCCAACAGGCCACACCGGAAACAGGTACGAGGCTGCCGGGCATAATACACCCGGACGTAGTACCCCATAAGCCGGACAGAAGAAGGTATATCCGACCGCAGGCGCATCCCCAACGTACGAATGTTTGTACGCCTCCCAGCATACCGCCTCGAGGAGAGCGTGTTCACCCGCACGCTGACAACAGTACCAAAACCCCCGAAGTAATGCCGGAGGAGGTCATCAGGGAACTCCAGGGGCGCACCATGGACACTGTCATAAGTCAGGGCACCACTGTGGTCCGAAATCGCCACAGAGCCGGCATCGTCTGGCAACGGCAACGTACGCCCCCCCCGTACCGACGGAGGAAGTCCCGGTACTCGTCCACCCCCACGAACTTAATAACAACCCGATGGGCCGTAACTAGCTACACACCGTAAACAGCTTCCACCGGGACACGAAGCATGTCACACATCACCATCTCGATGGTCGGATAACCAGCCTTTCAAGTGAACTCTAGGCCCACGGAGTTCACACGCTGAACAGGACGAAGATGGCCCCCCATGTCAGAACTGCCATGTCAATGCAGCCAGGCAGGCAACAAAACTGGTAGGGCAGGGACGCCCACACCACCTGGCGACCAAAACAACAAACAACTCCAACAGCCACGGAGGGTCGGTAAACGTCCTCACTCCACGGCTGCTAGCAGTCGACCTAGTGTTTGCGTTACTCTCCCAGATCGAGGAGCCTTGTTTACAAACATACACACGCGGTTGAACAGTGCACGAAAAGTTCATTTTCGTGCCACCGTCCTCGTAGCCTCCGCCGGGACTCTGACACCATACTACGAGGTCCTGCGTCATGGGGCCAGATTCACGAAGCAGTTACGCAAACACTTAGGAACCTGTACATCTTTTCTCAATTTTTGTCGGCTTTGCTTACAATTATTAAACAGTTAATGAGCACCGAAGCACCAGGAGGCTGTTTATAGCAATAACAACAGTTGATTGGCAAGTTGTCATGCTTGTAAACTGTTAAATAAAGGTAACCAAAGCCGTCAAAGATTGAGGAAAGATGTGCACGTTCGTAAGTACTTGCGTAACTGCTTCGTGAATCTGGCCCCTGGTCCGTAAGGTAAGGCCCCCGACCTCCCTCTCCCTATTTTAAATTTGTATATTTTGCCCCGAGGGTCGAGTTTATTGGCAGCGCCACTCATCCTGTGAGTGGACACACCGCCATAGTGACAGTATTGGGCAGCGCCACTCATCCTGTGAGTGGACACACCGCCATAGTGACAGTATTGGGCAGCGCCACTCATCCTGTGAGTGGACACACCGCCAAAGTGACAGTATTGGGCAGCGCCACTCATCCTGTGAGTGGACACACCGCCATAGTGACAGTATTGGGCAGCGCCACTCATCCTGTGAGTGGACACACCGCCATAGTGACAGTATTGGGCAGCGCCACTCATCCTGTGAGTGGACACACCGCCATAGTGACAGTATTGGGCAGCGCCACTCATCCTGTGAGTGGACACACCGCCATAGTGACAGTATTGGGCAGCGCCACTCATCCTGTGAGTGGACACACCGCCATAGTGACAGTATTGGGCAGCGCCACTCATCCTGTGAGTGGACACACCGCCAAAGTGACAGTATTGGGCAGCGCCACTCATCCTGTGAGTGGACACACCGCCATAGTGACAGTATTGGGCAGCGCCACTCATCCTGTGAGTGGACACACCGCCATAGTGACAGTATTGGGCAGCGCCACTCATCCTGTGAGTGGACACACCGCCATAGTGACAGTATTGGGCAGCGCCACTCATCCTGTGAGTGGACACACCGCCATAGTGACAGTATTGGGCAGCGCCACTCATCCTGTGAGTGGACACACCGCCATAGTGACAGTATTGGGCAGCGCCACTCATCCTGTGAGTGGACACACCGCCATAGTGACAGTATTGGGCAGCGCCACTCATCCTGTGAGTGGACACACCGCCATAGTGACAGTATTGGGCAGCGCCACTCATCCTGTGAGTGGACACACCGCCATAGTGACAGTATTGGGCAGCGCCACTCATCCTGTGAGTGGACACACCGCCATAGTGACAGTATTGGGCAGCGCCACTCATCCTGTGAGTGGACACACCGCCATAGTGACAGTATTGGGCAGCGCCACTAATCCTGTGAGTGGACACACCGCCATAGTAACAGTATTGGGCAGCGTCACTCATCTTGTGAGTGGACACACCGCCATAGTGACAGTATTGGGCAGCGTCACTCATCCTGTGAGTGGACACACCACCATAGTGACAGTATTGGGCAGCGTCACTCATCTTGTGAGTGGACACACCACCATAGTGACAGTATTGGGCAGCGCCACTCATCTTGTGAGTGGACACACCGCCATAGTGACAGTATTGGGCAGCGTCACTCATCCTGTGAGTGGACACACCACCATAGTGACAGTATTGGGCAG